TACGGCAGCGAAGGGGAAGATATTCTGTATGGCTTTGGACCCCGGCAATGGTACTCGAGTCATTGCTGGGACCAGCATGAGAGAGGTGACCTGCACTTGTCGTCTGCTTTACAGCGGTACAGGGTGAATAATAGATACTGATATTGGACATACGTAACCTTACCACGCCAGTTCAAGTTCGGGACTCTCCCTTCTCACAGCCTATCAGATGCATGGCGATCCATCCGATGGGGACTGGTACCTTCATATTCTCCTCAGGCCATGGGAGTTGTGATTCTTCAGGCTTCGTATGCGGTAGCCAAGAAGGAAAGGCAGCATGGGAGCCCTTTGAGCATTCGGATAAAGTGAGGGGGAAGTACACGTTCAAGTGTCATCATAAGAAATGTAATAATTTTCCTCTCGTTGGCTCCATGGAAGATTCGACCTTCCGACCTATCTCTTCCCATTCAGCCGTGGATTCTGATGGTCAAGACGTGAGTGCTGTGAATGGCGTTGCCTTCCATCCGAAGTAAGATCGGTGACTGCATTCTGGACTGGAAACTCATATCGAGTGTTGGGATATATGTTTGCTTTCCTCAATCGAGTACAGGAGTTTGCTCACTCGTAAAAGTCCACATACAAGTTCGGGTAGACTGTACAGAGAGTTTCACTAATTTTTTCCATATTTTCTCATACTACTGATATTGCTCCAGGCACGGCACTTTCGCCACGTGCGGTTCCGATGGTGTGGTATCAGTGTGGGATGGTGAAGCTCGGAAGCGTCTGTGGAGAATGACTGCAGATGAGGTCGCATCGGGCGGAGTATCCAGTGTTAGCTTCTCCCCTGATGGTACGCGCCTGGCTATGGGAGTGAGCTACTGCTTTGACAACGGTCCCAAGAGGTGAGACTGCCAGTCGAGCCTGGCCTACATATCGTTTGTCTTAGCCCCGAGCCTCCGAGGTCAGTCATCGTCCGCCCAGTTAGCGATGCTGAAATGCAGGCTAAGAAGAGAGTAGACTAGCTCCCATGCAACGATCGTTATGATAACAGAAGCCATCGCAACAAAGGTATTATATCAAACCACAGTTTTCTAGGAGTGCCCCTATCACTTGATTGGAGTTGACGATATGGGTAGAAAGGGGATGGGGCATGCCTCTAACTATACTAGTTGCTTTTCAAGGTGGAATTCCCCTGCCATTCGTAGCCGTATTCGTATCCGGTATGGCCATCAGCTCTGTCAGCGTTATTTGCTCAAGTGTTGCTGGTTCTGAATTTTCCGGCCAGCCTCGTTGGTCTCTGTCGGTGTATTACGCCAGGCCGATTCTCCCACGGACGACTACCTATTATATCGGTACTGATTTCACACTGGCTTTTGTGGCATCCCTCACTACAGTATAATACCATAGGAACCTACACCTTGGGGAATATGCACATGGTCAGCTTTCTATGTTTGTGACAATATGAGAATTCTGAGGAAATTCGGGAAAGTTCTTATTGGTTCCTGCACACTTCTACCCGATTCGTATGCAAATTTGCTGAGGAAACTCCTGACCTCAGCTGAGGAAAGCAAACATACATTCCAACACTGGAAACCTACTAGCTTATGAAGGCTGTGACTACCCTCGTGATTGTAGCTCTGCGGTAGTCTTCTACTTCGACCTCGCGGCACTGGTCTCGATATGGTGAGGAGTTTGGCTGACCACAGCGACCAGTGTCCAAGTAAACATACTGCAGACTCTGGGAAATCCATCACCAGTCTATAGATGGATGAAAATCAAGCGGGAGGAGGTAAAGTTGAGTAGTTGTACCCAGCTTCTCCGTCAATCATTATGTTACTATCAGTACCCCCAGCGGTTGACGATGTCAACACTCTATTATGGCTCTACTGGAGTTGGCCTTGTATTGGCGTTCTGGTGTTGGCCTATTTCATCATAGCCTTCGACGTGGATATCTCTGTATTCTTGGTTATTCTCAGCCATGTCGAGTTGGTGGTGATTCTGTCCAGTGGACACCTGGCTTTTGGGAAGTGACTCACTCTGCCTCCTAACCTACTGTCTCTGGCAGCCCTCGGTATCGTCAGCTATACTCATCTAGAAATGAATGAGCGCGAGGCGCCAATGGTGATGATAGTATTGGGGGCATATGCCGAGTGCACTATGTCACCCCAGCTTCCTGGGAACTACCCGAACTCAAGCCCGGAGGACTTTCCGATGTGCGTTGCATAGGGTGACAACTAGGACATGGCTGCATGATTATGCTGTGACTCGATGTCAAGAATAGTTGTTGCCTTGCGTTATCTCTGGTTCATCTTACACACCTATGTTCGTTTGTTACAGATTCTGGTTTCGGTATCATCCCTCTTAATGACGTCACGACCTACACCCGGGGACGAGCAGGCTGTTCCGACCAAGAGTGAGATCGAACAACGGGACGAGAAACTAGTCCAGTTCTTGTCCATGGCGGGCCCCGATTCTGAGGTGAGATTGACGATCTCCTTCTCGCCGAATATGAGGCTTCAGATCGATCCGGAGGTTGCGATGGAGATCCTGGCTGCCAACAACTGGGACGTGGCGAAGGCGTGGGAGCAGCTCAGGGGTCCTGATCAGGCGATGGAGCCAGAGACGCCTGAGAGGCTGCCAGGAGTGAGTATATGCGATGGAGACCGTGATTCACTAGTCGCCATGTTGGTTGCAGATAAACCCAGATGATCAGCGGCAAGCATGGGAGGAGCAGATGAGTCTAGACTATGCTAGAAGGATGCAGGCACATGAATATGGTAGGATTCCCCTCTAGTGGTTACGATGTTTACATTGTGCAGGTCCACTGCCGATATCCCCGACGGCTAACACAGTGGGTGGTGAACGACTGATAGCCTCCCCTATGGAAGAGTTCGCACAACAACAGCACTGGACAAGCCCAATGCAACGACAGGAGGACGAGGCACTGAGACGAGCTATTGAGGATTCAAAAAAGACGTCAGTTTAAAGCGGGAGTCATATGCATCGATTTTCTGCTCAGGGCGAGTGCTAGAGGTGACGCCTCAGGGTCGACTAGTGAAGCAGCTGGTACTCTCGATGATAGCGCCGATATGGACGTCGAGGTCCGTAGATGGCACGGTCTGATTGAGCGTAGTTTGTGATGTAGGTGGTGCAGTCCCAGGAGGCGGCTTACAATAGAGCCAGAAGCAATGAGTTTTTGACGGGTACTAGCAAGTACTGTTCAGTTCGTATCGTCTTCCGAACGGGGATCTGTCTCTGCTACTTCCGTTCCGGCGCCTGGGTGCCCTGGGTTTGGATCCGATACTGTTTCCGTTCGCACGGTCTGTAAGAGGCTGCCCCTGATGCCGAGATTTTCAGGACCATCACCGAGTGTACTGTCATCGCAGAGCCAGATGTCGGAGGCTGAACGGCTCGAGCGAGAGACTCAACGGTTGAGAGCTATGGTGGACCGCGAGACTCGTGAAGTTCAGGATCAGGAATATTTGGAAAGTTTGAAGGTAGAGCTTGGCAGTAGTCACTGATGGCTGTCTTGTCGTATGTGATTCCCAAATTGTATTTTCATAGGCGGATCGTGAGCGAGAGGCGGAAAAGCAAAAGAGGGAGGAGGAGATATCAGATGCAGCGGCTAAGTATGTGATATTGAAGTCCTCCATGAAGAGGAAACGGGAGAGTCTACCACCAGAGCCTGAGAAGGGTACGCCCGGGCGAGTGGAAGTAGGTCTATGCTTCATCACGTCTGGAGGCTATTGTCATGCCATGTGGTGTAGGTAGCGGCTAGGTTATTCAATGGCAAGCGAGTACAAAGAGCATTCCTGGGTGAGTGGGGCTACCGGAGCTGCTCGGGCGATACTCGTGGTGTTAGACAGCGAGCCCGTATCTGATCTCTATGACTGGATGGACTCGGAGCTCTTCAATGATCATGATCGGGCAGCAGCAGCTACGGCGGAGGATGGCGTTCAGGACTTCACTGAGGCTGATCTTAACTATCGGTTGGTCTCAAGAATGCCGCGGCGAGTATTTGAGAGGGAAGATAGGAGTATGAAAGACGCTGGGATCGAGAACCAGATTGTGAGACT